CTCATCACAGTCAAGCTCTGAGTTCTAACTTTGCTTAGCTATAGGCTACATGTACATGACTGTACGTACTTTGCTTAGCTATAGGCTACATGTACATGACTGTACGTACTTGATAAGTAAGTCCTTCAGTCTCACATGTCCTGTACTGTTCCACTGGTTCCCTGGCCTTACAGACAGGACAGCATGTCCCCTCTCCTCTGGGCTCATACTCATCACAATCTAGCTGAGATCTAACTTTGCTTAGCTATAGGCTACCTGTACATGACTGTACGTACTTGATAGGTGAGTCCTTCAGTTTCACAAGTCCAGGGAGTGTACTGTTCCACTGGTTCCCTGGCCTTACACGCAGGACAGCACGTGCCCTCTCCCCGAGGCTCATACTCATCACAGTCAAGCTCTGAGTTCTAACTTTGCTTCTTAAGCTATAGGCCACAAGACCCCTATGCCTACATGCCCATACATACTTGATAAGTGAGCCCTTCAGTTTCACATGTCCTGTACTGTTCCACTGGTTTCCTGCTTACAGACAGGACAGCAGGTGCCCTCTCCCCGGGGCTCATACTCATCACAGTCCAGCTTCACGGGACACGTCATCTTGGAGCAGACCATGGTGGACTCCTGTGGGGGAGGATAGACCTACAACATCGAAGTGCGTCAGGACAAGGTTGGAAAGAAACACATCACCTCCATGTTCTGTAATAGTACAGTCCAGAACTGGTGCCTAAATGCCTGCATGATTTTCATCCTCTTTCTGCCCGAACCCTAGACTGAGCATAGATAGATGCACCATATGTCAACATCAGCTAAACTTAAATAACAAGTTCCTGGCTCTCACATCCAAGCATGAAACAAATCAAGGACATTAGACTGTAGTGATGTTGCGGGAAGGTAGAGAGTCATTGTGGCCTGCCTGCAATTCACATCGACTCCACTAGGTGTCTTGCATGAATGGCTAGTCTCCAAACAGATGTTATGTAAAAGATTGAAACCTTTTAAACAACATAAAAATTGGTTACAGTGACTCGATATTCTTACAGTACTCGATATTCTAATACAGAACATATTCTATATGCGATGTTCTCTATAGACGACCATCTTGATTTTAGTGTTATTATGTAAATATCAGGCTACTTTCAGAGGGTAACAAAGTTGAGATTTTGTAAGTATACTTTGGTGCAACTTCACAAAACTGCCTAAAATTCAATGAGGAGTTGACTTCTTTTCAGTGGCAGTGGCTGATGAATGTATTGAATAGTCTTACATCTTTAATGAAAAGTGGGGTTTTGACACATCAGACTATCTGACAGACAAAGAGACTTGTAGAGAGGAGACACAAGACATAGTACATAGAAATTACCTTACATGTGCAAGTTGTGCAGGCGTCCACCTTCACAGCATCTCCGTTATCCAGCAGGTCTGAGCGGAACAGGCAGCTTCCCGAGGCAAGGTCAAACACCTTACGCTGGCCTGGGGAAACAGACAGATGAAGAAACGACTGGTTTATTTTTTAGCAGACAACTAGAAAATAATACAATAATTGCAGCTAGTATGGACTTAGGTGGGGTATGATTTACAATATGTTAAAGGCCAATACCACTTGACAATACATAGAAAAAAGTTTACATCATTAATCTTGATGCTTACTTAAAAACAATATAACTAAACGTTGACAACTGTTTATATTTCAAACCTGATTGTCTTCATCAATAATCCAACACCATATGAATATTTAAGTATGATGTTTACATATTGCAGACAATTGAATAGATGAGCAAATATTAAAAGGGGGTGGGATTGAATGGAAATTTAAAGAATGACTGACAAGATAATGACTGACTTTAAAGAATCCTGACAAAAATCCTCCAAAAGAAAGTTGACAAAAAATTGGAAACGTGATAAAGTAATCATGAACTGAGGCATTTCTGGTTTGTCCCTGATAAAAACTTACCCCTGCACTCTGGGCAACATTCACCAGGGGGCGTCCATGCAAGGGTCTCTGGGCAGGACAGAACCGGACACACTGGCTTTTTGCATCGCACGTTTCCGTCCTGAACAGAAAAGTTCATTTTTATGACATCAATTCCATCGTGTTCACTCAAAGTTTAAGCTCAACCAAATCTCGTAGCACTAAATCAAAACCAATTCTTGTAGGTCAACAATTCAGGACAGCACTGGACACATGCTTTTTGCATTGCATGTTTACATCATGAAACAACAGAAAAAATTGTTTTTATGGCACCAATTCCATTATGTTTGCTCGAAGTTTAAGCTTACTCAAAGCTCGTAGCACTAATTCAATTGCATTTCAGTCATTGAAGGCTGCTACTGTATGTTGTGTCTTGCGATAATGACATATTATTAAGTAAACCATTAAATCATTCATTGATTTAATTCAGATTGATTGATTCATTCTTTTTAAAATCTAAAAAAGGAATGAATAAATCAATGAACTAATTAATGGTTTATTTTATTTAAGTCATTAATACAGTATTATCTTACATAATTGCCCAGAAGATGATGACATCAAAATGACACCTCTTGTTAACAGGTGGTTGTGAATGAAGAACTTTGCTATTCTATGTTACCAGGGTACATACTATCTAGTACATGATTGCATAGTTGTGGACTAGTGAGTGAAAACTGACCTAACATTTCTGAATCAGTAAACCGGCTTAACTGTCACAACTGTAAAGAAACTGACAAGTACTAATCAGATGCTTCCTAAGAATATTCTGACTGATCTCTCACTGACGGTTACTGTATTGACAGTTACTGACATTACTACTGGGAATACCTGAAGTGGCAATGTAAGAGTAGACAAATTTCACCCTTTACATGTTATCTTACATACTGTCTGTATAATTGCCCAGTTGCTGCCAGAGTGAAAACCTACCTGACATGTACAGGTGACACACTTGTCTCTCTGGGATGTGAAGGTCTTTCCATCTGGGTATGTTCTGCCCTCAAACAGACATCCTGGAAAAATATACATTTTGGTTAAATGTGGTCACATGCTTGACTAGACTAAATCAATTGTGAAAGATGGAAAGGAGTGAAACATTGAAATACCATCAGCTGTATATCACAATGTCATACGAATTAGACATTACCCTCGTATGTATAGATCTCTTTACAATTACATAATTTAATTTTTTAGAGACAAATAATCCATTCTTTCATGAAGTGTCAGGGTGAAGCATGATGCTTTAAGTAGCTATCTATTATTAGATATTATGTAACTACAATTATAGTCTTCTTTTTCTATTAACTATAATTGCTAACATTTATGAAAACTTACAGCACACACAATTTATTAGGCTGTGTCCTTTCATCACATTAATAAATTTCAGCTTCAGTTCGATTGATTGATTTCAGGAACCTACACCCCCCTTGTGGCAACCTGATCTTGCTACAATGTTTCAAATAAATGTTGCAGAGTCTGACATGTGTTGCCAACCTGTTGGCTTAGAAACATGTGTCACGGCTTCCACACCAGCCTTCTGCTTGTTTCAATAGGCCAGGCGTGGTCAGGAGCTAAATATTGTTGTTTCAGATATAAACACTCTCCCCAAACACTGTCTATAAATTTGCCACATTTCTCACATTCCCTTTATGTGTAAACCTGCTTTTACAGCATTTTTGTACATTAAAAAGCTGTCTAAAGATATCTAAATTGTCATTATACGTTTTGAAACTTTTGAGATTATAAATCAAAGGAACATATGTTAGATGGAATGTGTTAAATGTGTCTGAAGTAGCCGACTAATAGACTAAAATAATGATTGTTTATTACAAACCCTTGCCCGAGGACTTATTGCAACTTGAAGTACAAAAATAATGAAAAAACATTTTAGAAAATATCACAGGCTGAGCACACAATAATTACAATGTAACCATTTAGGTGTGACACATTTTTTGTTCAATAAACTATTAGAAAATTAAACATCTCTATTTCAGTATTGCCAAATGACATTGTGAAAAGAATTATCAAATTGTGGTTTTATCAGTTATTCCATCTTTTGTGCAGTCCAAGCGACAGTGCCCTGTTCTGATCCGTATAATTACACAGTTCTTATTAGCAGCGTGAAAGCGATCGTATCTCCTACGTACCAATTACTTCCTGACAGGGAACAGACCCCCTTTTTGTCCCTTCTGACCTCTAATTTGTGTTGCCGCAATACCGTAAATAACCTTATCTTTTGTCCATCGATTTCCTAAGTTTCATTCTTTGCCTTAGCTCTTAGAACTTCTCAAAGACGACAATGTATCCATAACATGTATACCAGGTATAGATAGCCTGAAAGAATCTAATCCTTACATTACTGGTAAAGTTTTCTTTCGATAAGTTTTTCTAATATTCAAAGGAATCTACAAAATGTACATGAATCCGGAAGTACTTAATTACACTACAAGAGGCAAAGGACAAGGAACAAAGAATTCAACTTACTACAAGCATGACTACAAGCATGTCTGAGTGTCATGCTACAGAGGACACTTCATTTCCAAACCATAAAACAATGAAATTAAGACTTTTACGACGCCACCTTCTAAAAATACACTCAAGTACTAACTTACTGGACAAGGTGACCACGTTTCGGTGATTCCTTATACTATAATTTTTCCCATTGACACAAGCATGAAGAATCCTGTCTATAGTGACCACCTGTCCACATAGACCAGATTCTATCAGTTCTATGAGTGGCCAGTTTTGACTGTAGTTAAAATCTGCGACATTTTTGGTTACAATGACAAGAATGTGATTTCAGCCTGGGGCAAACTCTGTACTATAATCATCTGCTACATTACACCTGATGTTAGTCAGATATAAATCTTACAGCATGGATTGTGGAGCCGCGGCGATAATTTGTGCTAATCTGGTCGATAAGCATGGTGATAATGACTAGTAATTATCTGGTGATAATTCTTTAAGATATAATTCAGATATTTTCAAGTTTTTTTTTATTCATTTATTTGAAAACTTGAGGATAAGGATATTTGCTTAGGTAACACATAATATGTGAAGAGTTTAAAAAAGTTAGGCCTAGCTGATGTTTTGACATAATGTTATAACTGAGAGTTTTGACCTTCTTTTTTGGAGATAGTGGCATAAATGAGTAGTCCTAAGATTTTAATGTATGTAGGTTTTGCGATTTTAGAAATGTGTTTTATTCTAGGTTTACTGTGGGACATTGCGGTAGTCATTTTAAAAAGCCTATTACAATTACTTTTAATTATCATTTAGGATATACCACTTTTAAGTTATTTTGTGACCCATACATTAAAATGTCGGTAGTCCCGGCATTTTTACATTACTAAGAGTGTACTGTAATTATGTACAATAAACTTCACCAGTGACACTTGGGTAAATAGAATAAAAGCCAACAGCACCAAGGGGTCCAAGTCAGTTCAAGTGCCTGTCAGTCCATTATCGGAAAGTGCACTGTTATAAGTGGTTTCTTTACAAAATACCTCAACCACAAATTCTGCTCATACTGTAACCGATATTAATTTGCTATCAATACGCAAGAAAATTGCAAGTGTAGATTGGAATGTTTGTATATTATCCCTTTTCTATAGATGACAACATGGGTTCAGCAAATAATCTTTTGTCAAAATGTCCCTTGATTGCTTGTAAGACATTTTATCTAAAAATTTGTTTTTCTGTCTTCAAATGTTTTATTAGAAGAAGTGAGAAAAAGTTGAACCTTTAAATACTAGTAAGCTGTAACGCTACATAATTGTAACGTTACATGGAACTGCTTTGAATTCATCACCATGATTTGTACTTAGCTGGGAAAGGCATAAAAATGTAATAAAGGTCTTTCATGCAGTATGATAGAGGGTTTCCAATTTTTGTTGTCTCCTTAGCCTCGAATAGGGTACAGAAGCTGGAAAGAGTAGAAATAAATTGGCCAAATAGATAACATGCCAGGGGAGTTGGTCTGCAAAATGAATATTCGCCACCTCGTGCATACTCCTTTAGTTTAGTGGACTAACTCCCTTTGGCACATATTAGTGTCTATTTGGCCAATTTCTACATGTACTCTTTCCAGCCGCTCCCGAAGCTTGCTTGTTCCATGCAACATTGCCCTCAAACAAAAGCAGCTCATTTCTTAATACATGTGTACAAAGCAGACTTACCATACCAGCGTTATTTGTAGTCAAACCCACCTTTACATACAGGACAGCACTGGCCAGGCAGTGTGAGGGGGTTGCTGCAGGGTGTGTAACACTGAACCTGCGATACAGTCACTACTCCCTCCTGAAAATACAAAATATTTGTCATAACTAAAAAAAAAAACATTTTGTCGTTCAATTTTTTTCAGGCTACGGACATAACAGAACATAAAGACATATATCTACCACACAGATCCAAATAAATTCAATTAATTACAATTAATTACAATACAATTTTTAAAGGCAGAAAACATAGACAGCTGACAAGACAGCTTAATTAACTACACTCTGCTGGAAATACAAACAGACATTCATCAAAACATGCATGTATAAAACATTTTTATTATTTAATTTTGTCTTTTGATATATGTTGAGACTAGGACAGAACAAAGCATCCATCAGGATCTATGAAAACATTTTATATCCCAAGACAGCTGAATTATACACATTTTCAGGAAGCCTGTGAAAGAACCAACTGTTCACAAGGACCTATGACAACTACATCTGTAAAATTGTGTACATCTGTAAAATCATGACTGTCCCCCAAATACTTTCATTTTGTTATCGTAAATGCATCTTATGACAATAAGGAGCCTAATGTCAATGGTTTTGCCTCAACTTAAGTCAGTTACCCTTTCCTTCAGTTACCCTTTCCTATTAAACCCTGATCTTTATCCCAGGTTTTTCTTTAGTACATTTTCTTTTTCTTTCAACGCTGCACCGTTTCAGACGACACATAACACTTAAAATTTGTTTGCACCATAAAAATGGCGCTACAACGTTTACACAACAGAACTCTCCACAGTAAAGTACTGTAGGTTTGGCGCCGACTGTCCTTGATAGAAGTGTGTACACATACTTCATAAGCTTTACTTTGGAAACAAGAGTCTGGGTTAGATATGTATGAGATTTATACACACAGAGGGCAATGAACTCTTATCTACTGTTCTCCAAGCAGAGGTTTGAGTTTTGGCTTATTTTTGGCGTGTTTTTAGGCTTTTTTATCAGACGTTCTTTTTTGCACTGGTATCTTTTCTTACACCATCTTTTTCATTAGGGATGGCGTAAGAAAAAAAATACCAGTGCAAAAGCCAGATATAAAAGCCTAAGAACACGCCAAAATTAAGCCAAAACCCAAACCTCTGCTTGGAGAGTATTGTCTACATGCTAGTGGTTAAAATGTCTTCTGTGCAGAAGGGTGGAACACCTTGTTGGTATTTTCAATACAACTCAATTTTGTGTTCAAAACACTCAAACACTTTAATGAGACTTTACAAAATGTGTGTGAGCATTTCTGGTTTGTGATTCATAAATTGTGTCACAATGTGCAGGCAAACAATACTGTGGTAATGGTTCACAGCATTGTGTTAAATCGTTTTACAGCTCAAAGGGTATGCAGAACAATTTTGATGGAGCTTCTGCAATGAATATAGTTTAGCAGGTCTTCATTTCTTTTAAAAAGAAAAAAAACGTAGGAACAGATTGTCTACCAAAACAGACTTTGGAGAGAAAAGAAAATTATTACAAAATACCAAATTTCTCCAAGAAGATAGAAAAACTTTCCCACCCCTAAACATCGTCAAAAAAGTGCTACAAAAACAGAATAGCCAACCTCTTCAAACAACCTCAAACATTTTATCAGTAATGTTGCGAAATCGCGACTTCGAACTTTCGTTCTTTTGTCTTCGCGGGAGGTCTACTGAAGCCCTCTCCTCTACTCTCCAAGCAGAGACTAGTTTAGCGTTCGCGGTTTATTTTTGACGCGTTTTATGCGCTTTTGTCGGGCTTTCTTTTTTAGTATCGGCATCTCTTTTTTTTTTCTGTCTCGAGTTGTACTCACTAAAAGATCTAGTCTCTAACAGACTAACTACGCTGGCTATATATAGGAGAATATTTGTCAGGGGAGTTTGGCCGCCTTGTAGGTTTGACTGGCCACGCAGTTAGGGAAAGAAACTACGAGACCTCCCCGCGGCCGGACTCCCCTTGCCAATTTTACTCTCCTTTTTTTGCCCAATTCGACGATCCGTATTCCCGTAGAAAGGCCTGGTGGAGGCTAAAAAGATCTGCTTGAAGATGACTTTAATATAGCCTGATTAAATCGCTTTACGGTTGCCACCCGCCCAACATGTGGGGAGGGGCCACTAATTTAACTAAAGCCGCGGACGGCAGAGTTTGCGTTACACACACTAAAGACTACTCCTCCCTCCCCCTAGCCTCTACCAGGCTCCGCGGATCGCTGGAAAAATAGTAGAAATTGGCCGAAATAAAGGGATAGTATACCAGAGAAGATCCAGCCGGCCATCTGTCAGGCTATGTGGATCAATTTCTACTCTTTCCAGTCGCTTCTGAAGCCTGTCAGAGGTTTTCCTAACTGGGTCGCAAATTGGAGCTTCTATGGCCGGCTGGATCTTCTCTGGTATACTATCCCTTTATTTCGGCCAATTTCTACTATTTTTCCAGCGATCCGCGGAGCCTGGTAGAGGCTACCCTCCCCCCACCCACCTACAAAAATGCCTCTTATCTTTTCCCCCATCTCTCTGTCTAGGGACAAATTGGAAACTTATCTTGCACTGACACGTCCGGACACAATAATTGCATTACTGAATCGGGAGGAAGGCGGGGTGGGGACGCGATTTGTTTGCCTTTGTCATGGTAACGAAAGGGGGCAGTTATTCGAACTAGCCGCGCATATACAATGACAACTTAGTTTGAGAATGCCATAATGGTAGATTTGTGAAGAAAAACATTACTTTGAATCATAAGCCTAAGAGTTGAGCACTTTTTAAAGTATTTTAGAAGAACATGAAAACTTCGCGATGACAATTCAAGCGCAATGTTACGCACCAAAGGTTGATCTTTATTGTATAGTCAGATAAAACAAGTCGGCTTTTGCAACAGGTGGTTTTAGGTTCAAAATGCGTAATCTTTTTTATCCTTTTCCTTGGTTTTGCATTAAATTTTCACCAGTGGTGTCCCAGACACAAACAAATTCTATGTCCTAGTCCATTTTGTTCCAGAAATTTGTTATGCTACGATACTGGCCAAGCGTTCGACCACCATACTTGTTTCATACTTAAAGCAATGTGCGATCTTCAGAAACTCACGCGCCATGGTTTAGACAAATTACAGTTGCCCCAAATCTAAATTCCTTTAGCTATTTCTATGTTTTTCTTTGTGTTCAAGTTTACTAAAATTTTGTGTCTTATTTTCTGTAACTGTAGCGAATTCTGAAAAGACGACGCGAAAAAGGTAGCGACTCTGTTTCCCTACGGTCACTTCTAGAAAATGGCGACAGAGTCAGTTTCAATTCCCGACTTGACGACGTAAAAAAAGAATCTCCACTTACAAACGAGTACTTAGATCGAGAACGTAACCAATCTTCAACACGCGCGCCCACTTTCAACCAGTTCGATCCCCCAGAGCGAGCCCTTCAACATCTTTTGTTATGGCACTCACAAAATGGCTGTTCGTCTTTCTGCTGAGTACACATGCTCTTGACTTTCGTGGCCGGACTGAGATCTTTCACCGCGTCTCTATGGTTGCGTTTCTGTCAGCAAGGCACTCAGGACCCCATTAGTGAAGAAAACACGCCCGTTTGGGTACAATTGATGCCGGTTTGTTGGTGGAAAATCAGCGTCAAATGTTGGCATAAACAGAACCACCTGCTACGCAAGTGGATCTGTCCGAGCTCTCGTCTGCGAAAAACTCGCAACCAAGAGGTCCCGGGTTCGAACCCTGCCATGCCACCGATCTTGTGCTCTTGGGAAAGGCACTTTTAAGTGCCTTCCCTTCACTTCGCTTAGGTTAAAATGAGTATTGTATTGTCCCCTGTGTTGGTGGCGACATAAAAATAAGCCAATTTGAGTGTTCCCTCACCACGTCTTGTGATTATATGTTGGAATAAAAAAAATGCACCCAAGACATATAACAGTTAGTAATATATTTCTGGTGAACAATCATCTTAAATAAACTTGACAACTACTTGCCGTAAAGACAAAGTACTCTGTTTTGAATACTAGTACTTCAAAATGGCTTTCAACGTGTAAAAATATACTTACACTCGCTTAACCCTAATCTGTATCTGTATAGCCGGAATAACCGCCCCTCGGCGTAACACACTAAAAGTACAACATGTTTCAAAGAACACGTGGGACGAAAACAGCCTTTTTCAAATTCCTCAAACGCACGTGTGACGTCAGAGAAATATTTGCCAACCCCCGACTGTTAGCGTTAGATGATGTTGTCTATATCCTCGATGAAAGGAAAGAGACAGTGAAGACTAAAACGGGAACATTTACAAGTTATGTCAGCTCTCAGTCGCTGAGTGACGGAACCCAGACCCCACACTTGAGCTAAAACAGACATACTTGTCGCCTGTCAATTTATAAGTAGAGTAGTGATGTTGAGTGCTATATATAAAGAGCTGCTACTGTTAATACTGAACGCTGTATTTAGCAGTGAAAGCCATGTAATGGACGTTTTGTCAGCTTTTGAGGCGATGTGAATTGATTAAATGAAACATCTCCTTTGTCAATATAATAAAACATAGTACAAACAGCCAAGTTGCCACTTTTCTCAATACAAACAGTTATACATACTGAAAAGGTTGTACATGGCGTTGCAAGAATTTTATGGAAAGTGTAGCAGGCTTCAAGGCTTCAATTTTTTCGATTAACATGCGTTTTCTAATTGTATATGTTAGTTTTGCAGCTTTTTATATGGTTTGTTAACAGTCACCAAGTCTAAAAGAACAGGCAATGTGAATTGTCAAGTTCAGTTGCTGTTTAGGAGTTCGATAACTATTTCTGGAAAGACTGCAATGTTTTATAGGAAATGTTATCTTAACTTGTTTGCAATTCCTTTTGCCTAAACCAAATCTCCCCCTAGGCTTTCTTTGCGAGAGATAAATGCATATCGCTGCAACACAGTAGCTGGGTACTTTGTATTACGTCTCGGTAACAAGAGGCTTCTCTTAAAGATAGCCTACCGCGGCTGGAGTCTTTCTCTTGTCACTCTTACAACACACCTGGAATTCCCGCCACCCACACAATGGCACGCTGAGTGATGTTTAACAAAAAAACGTCTCGGTTCCTGACTTCCCACGGAGATGTTTTGATGTTTGTTCTGTCATGACCCAAACACCACATCCTAAAATTAGTTGAGTCCCAATTCTCATGTATTCTGTTGTTTGTTCTCATTATCGTTGGTTAATACTTAGAACCTGGACATATAATGTCGTGCAATCGTAGCTTCTACCAGGCTTTGGGAGGCAGCAAAATGTACTCTCTAGCCGACCAACTCCCCAGTTATCTCTCTATTTGGCCAATTTATACTCTTTCCAGCCACCTCCCAAAGCCCAGTAGAGGCTAGTGCAATCGTAGTAGTATGATCGCAAACTGGATGCATTCTTGGGTAGTCGGGCATGTGTCCTACAAAATTCATCTGTCTTGTTACGAAAAAAAAGCTGCCTTGAATTCTTGACGGCAGGTGTTTCTGTCAAAGCCTTCTTAAAAATTCTATAACATCAAAATCGTACGAAATACCTAAGACGGATATGACCGCAACGTACGTTGCTGAAACATTTATCAGTTATGTTTAAAATCAACAAAAGCGTCCGCTACAAACAAAGTGAATACATCTGCGTTATTTCCGAGAGTGGCTAGCTAACCGGGCAAAGTTTTGACAAGCAAACATCACAAGTGTCTGGAACATCGTAGAACGAGAACATAAATCAGTAAAAGTGGCCACTAAGTGTGTGTAACGACTGGTAAGAATTTATTTTCCGGATGCCGAAGTCAGGAAACCGGCGGTACTGAACCGTGGTGGGGAAGGCTTGCCGTTCCAAACATGATACGTTAATTAGCTCTGTGAAAAATAACAGACCCGCCTTGGAACTGTTTACCGTTTGGTACTAAAAATAAATCATGTCAGAACGACAAACAGGCGTGGAGATCTCCGAGAAAGAAAACGTTTGAACCCCAAACAGGTGCATAGTAGAACATGGAACGATCTTGGACTGAATTTAAAGATACAGAGAGTTTTGTATTGTTTTGCATTGCGTTGTATGTGTATATTTCGTACATATTTTGTAAATTTGTTGCTTTGTTATCAATTAATGTTTTGAAAAAAATTAAAAAGGACATGGAACGATATTTTGGCATCTTGCAGACGATAGAATCAACCTCGCTTCTTATTGGTTCCTGAACTTACCTGACATGCGTACTGCGTACAAGGGTCTTGTTCTGACGTCCACTTGTCTCCGCTGTTGTACATCTCACCTTGAAACGTGCAACCTGGAAAAAATTGAAAGAACAAAAAAGAAAAACATTCAGAAAATCTGTCTGGAAAATTTTATGACAATAGATTTTTTCGCTTGAATTTTTATCATTTCTTACCAATTTCTGGATATCATTTCAGTGCATTTTCAACTGTGTTTTCGTAAGATATATCTCTTTACACTTGCCGATAAAAGTATAGATTTTCGTCACCAAATAGACACACCTACACACGACATTGCTTTAGGTCGATACTTTGCTATCTGTGGGTATTCCTTGCGACATTACGCTGTGAATATGCAGGTAAATCATTTTGTATTTCTAAAAGAGTGTAGTTCTTTGCTATTTCTTTCTTATACGTTGAGAAATATGCACAAATATTTTCTTCTCTTTTCTTCCATTCGTTTAGTCATGACACAGGAGAAGGGAAGTGCGAAATTTATTGCTGGAGAAATATTTGACATGACATCCGCCCGTCCTAGCGTGTTTCCTACAACTCGTTAAACCCCAAACACAGAAGCCCCCTGCAAAATGTCGCCCGGAAACTTGTCCGTGCTAGGGAAAGAGTTCCACACAGACCACCCACAAGTCCGTATGACCGCGGCCTTGGTGCGCTAACCTCTGTCTCAACCCGGAGACGACATATGCATGCTGTGAACATTAGATGCCCCCTTAGGCCACAGCAAGTAAACTTTATGGATGACATCCCCCGCAGACTCCAAATCTAAAGTGGTAGGGCGAATAAAAACAAGACGCAAAAAAACACAAGATTCCTACGCCAAAGCAAGGACAGTCCTTCCTCAAGGTAAAAGACACAACATGAAATCAGAGCCTGTCTTGTCCCCTCTCTTCATATTTATCTGCCATCCACGTTCCGGCATGGCAACAGACATCTTTGCCCATTTTCGGCATGTTGATCACTGTCAGAAGGCAACAAAATTATTGTTTTCTTTTTCCAAAATCAGGCGAAAAGTAATGCTCGCGCTGATGCCATCCATAAAAAAGTACTTGCTGTGGCCTCATCTGCCAACCACGTTCCGGCATGGCAACAGACGTCGTTGCCCATTTTCGGCATGTTGACCACTGTAAAATTTCTTTTTTTTTATACAGGCGGAAGTTAATGCGCGTGCTAACGCCATCCATACAAGTTAATTGCTGTGGCCTTGCCGCTTGGCGCCGGAGCGTCGATCCAACCTGTCCAGCAGTGTTGACAGTCTAGCCGCCCACCGGCCGGCCCAAAGCTAGCCAGGTGCCGACAGAACAGAAACGGTAGATGGTGGGAAACGGCAGAGTATCTACCTACGTGCGTGGGTGTGTCTCTTAGAGGATGGAAATCTACACCGCAATCGGCAGATGCAAAGAAATGTTACCTTACAAAAACTCATGTGGACAAAAACAAAATCGCACGCTCGTGTAATACCCTGAAATGGTATCCCAAAATTAGAGGGAAAAGGCACTATAATTACACTTTTGATATCAAGCATTCTTGTGGCAACTTTCCGCCAGGGTTGATGAAAGAAAGGGTAGCAAAAGGGTGGCGTATGGACTCTCTCTGGCCAGTGGATACTGCCTGGCCAATTTCAAGAATTTGATACTGTCTTTTGCCACCTTAGGATCTGCTTGTAAAACACATCCAACTAACTGTACGGTGACCACAAATAATGATTTATCGTTAGTATAACCAAGGATGTCTAAAATAGGCATTTTGAAAGCCTCTTCACTCGCCCATATATCATTTGAGACGGCAGGAGAGTACGGAGTGATTTATTCTGTATAATGACCAGCACGGTCCGTCAGCAGCCTTCACCGGTCCGCCGACCTGCCTTACAGAGCGGGGTCATCCATCATTGCCATGGTTACGGTCCGCTGCACACGTTTGTTTCGAACGTCGTCCTAAAGTCACCCCAGACGTCCTCCCGCCATTGAAGCCCGGGCACGTAAACCAACACGCGCATCGGAAGGAAACAACATCGGCTTTTGTCGCGTTCCGAGCGGAGCTAATATTTATTTTTCTACGTCGTTAATCAAAACTTGTGAGATGTGTGATGTGTCTGGGGTCAGGACACGGTGGTCAGATTTAGGCCAAATGTCCCTGACGTTTTTTTAGAACCAGAACCCTGTTCGATCATGTTCGATCTGATCTGATGTGATTCGAACAGAACGCCTGTTCTTTTTAAGAACCGGAACCATGTTCGATCGTGTTCGATCTGACGTAATTCGAACAGAACGCGTATTCCTTCTTAAGAACCCGAATCAATGGAATTGACGTCATTCGAACAGAACGCGTGTTCCAAAATTCCATACTCTGAATATTTTAAATTTTCTGACAAGCCAACAGCCAACTTCTTCAAGTTAAAGCTGTCGAAAATCTTGTGCCAATCAGAAGAATGTAAATTTCTCCTCTTTCAACATTAGCTTAGAAAGTAGCTTGCCTAGACTGACCAGTGCCTTCGAGTAAAGTTTGCCGTTTTTCTCTTCTGGTGTAGAGCGGTGATGTCTTACACGTGTGTCAGAAAGGCGTATTTTTTTCATGTAAGAAAACGACAAAACATGCATTCGGGCAAGAATTTGCAGTAAAATTGTTATCAGTATCATCCTCACACCTTTGCACTGTTCGCAACACACGCCCCGCTTCTTCACCACCAGAGAACAGTCGTCCAACCGCGGGCACCGCTCCTTCCGACACGTCACTTCCTGGTTCTGTCAGAAAAAAGGCGGGAAAATCACGTCAGAAATTGTCGTCTGCACATCAACACACACACAAATACCCTACACACATAGTTATAAGCATTGATAGAAAAATAGTTAAAGTATCCGTCCATACAGGTCGTCCGTCTATTTACAATATCAACTCATATGTTGTAAAATGTATAAGGTCTTTAAAAAGTTATAGAAGGACTTCGATGTCTTGCTTTTGTGACCCAAACGTCTATATAGGCTCTAAGAAAAGGTTCTGTCCGCCTATGATAAGAAATAGATGTGCTATGCCAGAAGAAAAAGCGCATTATAAAAGCCCCCAAAAGTCCCAATATCGTCGAGCCTGCAAAGGAGGCTAGCCAAACGGACAACACAAGTCCTCAGTCTGATATCGTTCAATGCCGCCTGCCCGGCATATGTCTGACTACTCCATCCACACGAGATGCAAACTGCAATCCCGCGGTGACAGGTCTACCCCCTACAGGAATTCCTGGTCTCGTTCCCAACGACTGAAGAGATTTACTGTTTGATTATTGTTAGAGGTTGTCACAGAATTTAGCGCTAGTTCGCGATATCAAACGAGTTGGATCTTATTGCAACAGTGTGGCATTTGGGTGATACATGATTTGCGACGTCTTTTGGCACAATTTTGTTAACGTTAACTACAATGATCGTCTTTTCGTAAGTAAAACAATATAAATGCCGATAGTGATAGGCGCACCCTTGTACAATTTTATCATCATATAGAGTGTAATCTATACATAAAATCTTCTTGTTCTGTAGCATAAATGTTGCATTAACATGTAACCCATAATTGTCAGATAGTTTGATCTACATTACGACGGGTTGTCACGAATTTGTTTGCTTTGATGGAAACTAGTCATAATCTTTATCAAAACCTGTATCTAAGCTTTCCTGTGCTCTATTCCAAATCTATCTGAATAGCCGTACAGTATTCCATTTCATAATTATCAAATTAAAAAGATTAACTTATTCCAAACATCTATTAAAAAGTTGGACTTGTGCAGATTTTCGACTGTACAGCAGAAGTCTTTGTGTCTTCGGATAAGTTAAACTTTTTTCATGGGAATTATACGCAAAGTCTTTCTTCCAACTTTCTTGCAATTCTTCCAACACAGATAGCCGAGCAAAACAAGCTAATCTTTCACAGACGTCAAGTGGGTAAATGAAGTTACTAAAGGAACAAACTTCGCCTGAAATAGCACATCGTTCTTCTGTGTCGGTCCCTGGCAGTGGAAATGTGGTATCATGTCGGTGTAATCTGCGGTTTGACACCGGCGGCCACGCTCGGGTCACGGTTGTGTTTGGGTTGCGCGAGGGAGGACGGGACTAAAAACTGATCACATCGCACAAGTCGTGGGAACGGGGCAACTTCCCGACAACCCACAAACCAAGCAGATGCAAGGTTCCAGTCCTGCAATTCCAGAACAAGCTGCTAGGGGGCCCAAACTATCGTGACTTCTTCCGTAGCCCAAGAGCTATCTACCACTAGACGCTGGTCGCTTAACGAATTTCATAGACAGAGAACAAGACTTTTTGTACGTTTTGTGTATTTTGTTGTCTTTTATATCATACTTACATTATTGCACTAACCTTAACCCATTCAGGCATAGAACTAGATCAGCACGGTGCTGGAAACCATAGGGCCTTACGAAGGAGCCTGGTGGAGGCTAGGAGATTACACCACCTTTGCCATGACAATCTCTACTCTTTCCGACCGCCTCCCGAAGCCTGGTAGAGGCTACCAGCTTCGCGTTGTCTCTCACTAGCTATCGACGACCCTAGGAAGCCTGGTGTAGGCTATGAGATTACCACCTTAACGCTGTCTCTCACTACACGCGACCATACGGAGCTCGTCTTGGTGAAGTTTCTTGTGTGTTTTGTTGCCGTCTAAACCATACTTTTGCACCGTGCATCATATTTTAATCATAAAATCAACGGTCTCACAAATGTACAGTCGTTCAATTCAGCGATCGGCGTCTAGTGAAAAAGGGACCCCCAGAAAGGCCTGATAGAGGCTAGAAGATTACACAACCTTCTCGCTGTCTCTCACTAGCCGTCTAGTGACATAGGGCCTTAGGGAAGCCTGGTGGGGGCTAAAAGATTACCAGCTTTGCACTGTCTCTCACTACACGCGACTATACGGAGCTCTTTCTTGTCTTCTAAATCATATTTTTGGGCTGCAGCGATCGCCGTCTAGTAAAAGAATGCCTTAGGAAAGCCTGGGGCCTGTGGGAGGCTATGAGATTACCACCTTAACGCTGTCTCTCACTACACGCTGCCATACGGAGCTCGTCTCCCCGAAGTTTGGGGATGGACGGCGGCGGTCAGGTCCCGCGCTCCGAATGTAGATCACCCCGGGAAAACCAAACAAACAGCTCCATTACTCTAACTTCAGATGGAAGCTCTGGAATTCTGCGGGAGGAGGCAGAATGAGATTTGCTTGCCTCGGGTCGCCTGATTTGAGGCAGATGTTCTTTTCTTTCATTTTTTTTTACAAAACAGCTGGTAACGTATGGTTCAATGTTGAGCGGCAACCTACAACAATTCTGGAGGAGAGATCGCAGATTTCTGAGAAGTACTTTGGACTTGTGGCGCTTTCAAGTTCACTTTCGTGTGCCTGACCCCCGTTTCCTGTGCCTGACCTTGTGACCAATCATTCTGCCTGTCAATCTTCCCTCACCCACGTGCTGTCAACCTACTCTGTCCGGACAAGCATACACACAAACTCACTGACAATCCCACCTAAAACAATACTTCCTTAAACAACTTAAGACCAGCAATCATTTCCAAAGACCAAGCTCTGCATACGGAAGGTTGTTTACCTCTAGGCCCTACAAAATACACAGTACAACACTCCAGTCTCATAATCTGTTGACTAGCTTCCCTATGTTGGATACATTTAGGCTTATCGGTTCTTACACTTTTGTACTCAACACGTCTTAGTTCTGGTAGAGTTTGGGCTGAAGCTTAGTGTCTTCTTGTTGTTAGAAGGAAAACTCTTCAGTTAACCAGATTATAGCGAGTTGCTACATGTGGTTGAGTGGGGGCGTAAAAGGGACCTTACCGAAGAGAGATAGGCCGGCCTACGCTAACTACTAGTGTCGGGTCTTCGTCCTAACCTACTTTTGAAGAGAGACTTATTGGATAAAACCGCGGGTCGTCTGGGTGGAATTTCCGTTACAACTACTAGTACTTGAAGGGAGGCTGGGACGACTTTGGGGCAAAAGAAACTTTTTGTAAAAGGTCAACTTTTAGCGATTGACGCTAGGTGGTGTAATGATACAGATTCTGGATTATGGTACAAAGTTATGGTTCTCACAGGTGTCATTTGTACCAGATAATGCGACATTTTTAGAACCCGAACCATGTTCGATCTAAGGTAATTCGAATCGAACGCGTGTTCCGTTTGGAGTCATTTTCCCTTTAAGAATCCCATTCCAATCAAAGGTCTGAAAGAGAAAAAAAAGGACTCTAGATCTGATTGAGCAAATGTCGTTATGTTTTATGACGCAAGGAAGAGACAACAGAAGGAGGGAACAGAAGAAAAACGACTATGACTGTGAGGACTGACACTCGAGAGAGAGGGGGGCAGAGAGAGAGAGAGAAAGAAAGAAAGAGATGTTCAACAGACTTTTTACTCGAAGCAGCCCGCAATACTAACTACGTCTGCTGCGAATCCCCGTCTGTCATCATCCGGCGGCAACTGTATACATACCCGCCAGCCTCCGCCAGCCCGCACTGTGCCAAACCCCCTCAGCCATGACCCCATAACACCCGTCAGCCACGACCCCCTAGCACCCGCCTGACACGCCTGATTGCCATTTCTTCATCCCGTCCTTGCTCCTAATCTCGCGTGAAACGAACATCAGCTTGGTTTAATCGAAATCGACATCAGATGGGGTAAATTTACGGGCGACACCTCGATCCCTCGACACTAAATAACCGCGCACACCTGACAAAAACAACCACGTGTGTTTTCTTGAACTTGACCGTGAGCATCACGTGCGTTTGACCATGTAACGGAAGAACCAGACTGCACTGCGTCTATGAGATATTAATTGAGCAGGTCAGTGAGGTGCCCGAAACTTTGACTTGCGGCTAAATTGATCCAATATGTGAAAATAAGGCGAGTTCAAAAGGACAAGGCTCCGTCTGAAGAGACGATCAGGTCTTCAAAAGCGCCGGATCAGGTGATCGGATGTAGATAGCAACGGGTTACTGACATACTCCCTTTGATTGGAAACCAGTATGCTCAGAAATGTACACGGTTAAAGAAACAATCTGTCATCTTTCTAACCTTCTTTCTTTCCTTCCTTCCTTCCCTTTTCACTTTTCAGGGAATGTTTCTTGCTTGCTCCCTATCTCCTTTAACCTTGTTCTTTCTTTCGTTCACTCTATTTTTCTAGACACATCCTTCTGCATTTTCTCCTCCCTTTGTTGTCAAACTTCTTTCTTCATTATCTCCTATACTTAATGTTCAGAGGAACTTTAGTGCTTATAATACATGTTTTTATAATCGCCGATGAAAAGGCTAAACGTAGCAATTCATTTGCTATTTTCCAGCCTGTTCTACTTTAGCAAAAGTTTCCAATAAAGCCAAGACCAGAGAAACGAAATATCGGAGAAAAACAAGGAGGCTATTGTCAAACATATCAATGGCCGTAGTCTTGTGCCAATATGTTTGTAAATATCCACTATCTGCTATTTCGGGGGAAACGGGGGGGGGGCGAAAGTAGACCATCTGTATCTATATACATGTATCTGCATCAGTATAGCCTGTATAACCGCCCTTGGGCGTAACACACCAGCTTCGCAGGCACGCGGCGCGACGGCAGCTAGCTATATCTCACCGAACGAATTGTTACACTCAATCTTTGCACATTTGCAGTTGTTTGTTTAAAGCTTTCAAGTGATGATGCCCCAACTGTGCTTGGTGGCAACGAGTTCCACGACAGTTCTTGGAAAGTACGAGATTTTGA